AAAAAAAAAAAAAAAACAGTGTTCCCCTTTAAGCTAGAAATGTGTCTGAAATGTGTGAATTATATATTTTATAGCGGGTGCTTAAGTCTTCTTAAACTGCTTGATGTCATTATTCTGAGAAAGACCAGAATGTTTTCAGCCATATTTCACAGTCGTTCAGGTGTGCAGATGGAGGTGGAGAGAAAGAAGGGATGAAGGTGATAAAGAGCGAAAGGTTGGTTTATAGGTGGCAGTTTGGGAACAGAAAACCAAATCCTCAGTATTGACGTGAACTTTATTCAAACCTATAAAATAAAGCTTATTTAACAATATTACTCAGTGGCGAAGAGCAAAAACAGAAAGACAAATTGAGTAATAAATAATGTCTTGGATAAATTGCTTTTAAGTGCAGTTGTAATCTTTGAATAAGGTTTTTTTACTTGTGCTTAAGTAATTTTGTCCTAAAATAACAAAACTAGGGCTGCAACTAACGATTATTTTGCAAATCAATTAATGACTAATTATCTTCTTATCCAGGATGATGTTCCTGCTTCTCAGATCAACCAACTGTTGCATCTCAAGTGAGACAGAAAGCCTGTCATTTCTGCAAGATGTGATAAAGCCTTAGAGGGTTTATAACAAGGGAAAACCTGTTTGGTTGAATGAAAAGCATCAATCCTGATGTCTGATTCTCAGGAAGTAGAAAAATACGTCGAATAGACGACGGAGTAGCAGCTGTAATTAGCCCATCTGTTTGGGAGCGATAAGAGAGCCGAGCGCTCGCTCCCTCACAGCTCTGCACTCTCTCTCCATCCTCACCCCGTTATCTAATAACAATTACATTAGAGAGTCATGCTGGGGGTGGGGGGCGTCAACAAATCAGAGCTCTCCACCAGCTGCAAAGAGCTGAGGAGTTGTTTTTTTTGCCAGTTTCAGCAGCAGAGCTTTTTGATCCCAGCAGTTTGCTGCTGACAGAACATCTAGATGTTTGGTGAGAAATGTTCTGACAGAGATCAGCAGACCTGGTCTGTCTGGTTCACTTCCTGTAAAGGTCAGACTGTCTGGTGGCAGCAGAAATGTGAGGAATATGAAGAGA